CGGGGTGAATTTTATCCATACAGAGTATGAAATAAATGGCAGATGCACACAGCACACATCCTGCCCTCTGGTTTGGGATTTGGTGCAGTTTTCAAGTTTATCCATTTTATGGATTTAGTTCCTCTAGATGACAGAGTTTGTTTCTCTAACATCTGATAATTATTCATAACCAAATGCTAAAAACAGCCCCCAATTCAATACCTAAACCCCCAAACCTCCTCATTTACACATAATGCCAGGCATGGGCGCTCTCCGCCAGTCCATGATTTGGGGATGGTGGTTAGAGGGGCAGATCCTCAGCAAGTGTAAACTGTCACTGCCTCGTTGACTTCAGTGGCATATGCCAATTTACCTTGGTGAAGGATCTGCTCCCCCACGTACTGCCAGAACCTCCACCTCCCAGCATTCCCGCACTCCTCCTTCACACAAATGTGTATCTGGCATTTTTGTAGTCCAGAGGCCAAATTCCACTCAGATACACCAGTGCAATCCTGCTGACATCAGTGGGGTTGCACTGGTGTAAATGAAAGGAGACTCTGGCCTCAGCATTAAGGGTTTGAGCATCTCCATGTGTGAGATTCAACAGCACAGACACGGAGACAATTTTTTAAAAAAATACAGTCATGTAGACAGTGACACGCAAACACTTTTAAGAGTGGGGGAGCTGTCCTTACCTCCCCTGCCTCAGCTGAGGCTGGGAGCAAAGTTCTGGCATGCAGGGCAGCAGCCAAGACTTGGAGCATGGGGCTGGCAGTACAGCCTCCAGTGCACAGGGCTGAAGTAGAGCACCCACAGCATAGGGCAGCAACTGGATCCCCATGCATGGGGCCAGCAGTAGAATCTGCAGCACACAGGGAGGCAGCCGGGACCCTGGATGCTAGGCCAGGAGCCCAGGGGTGCTGTAGCTCTCCCCCATACCTCTAGTTCCCACACCTATGTGCATGAATCCTGCATGGGAAATCAACAGGCATATGGAGTGTTCAGTCTGAACTCAGCATTGTACATTCCAGTTATAAGATCACCCTCCACCTAACATGCTAAATACATGTCTCAGAGGGGCATCCGTTTTAGTCTGTAACTTTAAAAATAACTGTCAGTCCTGTGGCACCTTTGAGCACGTCTACACAGCAGGGCTAAAGCCGAAATAAGCTACGTGACTTGAGCTACGTCAATTGTGTAGTTTAAGTCGAAATAGCTTATTTCGGCTTTGGCGCTATCTACATAGCAGGAAGTCCGAATTAAAGTATTCTTCCTCTGACTTCCCTTACTCCTCATACAATGAGAGTTTCAGGAGTCAGAGTAGAAAGTCCTCCAGCTTGCCATTATTTTGACATTATGGACTATGTTATTTCAGAATAACGCCAGTCGAAGGAGCCTCGTAAAGTAATTTACTCAACATAGTCAATGAAGCAGGGATTTAAATAATCCCCGCTTCATTAAAATAAAAATGGCCGCTGCGCTGTGCCAACAATCAGCTTATTCGGCACAGCATGACAGTCTAGACACGGCGCAGTTGACAAGGGAAGCCTTTGTCAACTGCTCCTGTAAGCCTCATGAAATGAGGTTTACAGAAGCAGTCGACAAAGGCTTCCCTTGTTGATCGCGCCGCTTCTAGACTGCCGCACTGTGCCGAATAAGCTGATTGTTGGCACAGAGCGGTGGCCACTTTTATTTTAATGAAGTGGGGATTATTTAAATCCCCGCTTCATTGACTATGTCGAGTAAACTACTTTCTTGTGCAAAACCACGACTAGATTGGCACGGATGCTTTTCCGCAAAAAGTGCTTTTGCGGAATAGCGTCCGTGCCAATCTAGACGCTCTTTTCCGCAAATGCTTTTATCGGAAAAACTTTTCCGTTAAAAGCATTTGCGGAAAATCATGCCAGTCTAGACATAGTCTAAGGCTATGTCTACAGAGCAGCAGCGTTATTTCAGAATAACTGACGTTATTTTGACATAATCTTGAAATAACGTCGAGTGGGAGGACTTCTTACTCCGACTCCTGTAACCCTCATTGTATGAGGAGTAAGGGAAGTCGGGGGAAAAATACTCTTAACTCAGATTTAATGCTAAATACATGTAAAGTAGGAATGTGAAGGACTAGTCGACTATCCGATAAGCAAATGCTTACTGGATATTCAACAGGCCAGTCGGCTAGTTGCTTCCCTCCACTCTTGCTGCCTCTATCAGAAAGAGTCAGCAGGGGTGGGGGAGGGAAGTGGAGGAGTACTTCAAAGCAGCAGCGCTGAGTGCAGCCTGGGGCCATACCCTGGGCTCCACATGACGCTGCCACTTTGAAACACTGCATGCAGCCCAGGACCAGCTGGGGTGTCCTTAGGCTGCATGCGGCGTTTCAAAGTGGCAGTGCTGCATGGAGCCTGGAATCAGTGCAGCGCTGCCGCTTTGAAACATTGCGAGGAGCCTGACACCAGGGAGGCAGAGGTGCCCTATCGACTAATTGAATAGTTGATGCAAAATGCATCGTATTCGATTAGTTAATAACTCGCAATTTAAAATCCCTAATGTAAAGTATTATAGTAGTTATCTCACTTTCATAGCTGCATTTTCCATTACTATCGATGAAAAGTTTCATCTACAGGGGTACAGATTACTGCTTAATAATTTTGCAAAGGTGTCTTCAGAGGGAGATTAAGTAATTTTATCAGACCAAACCAAGATAGCTCAAGTTGAAAGTCAAGGTCCGTACTATGAAAAGATTATTAGCTCAAAGGTAAAAGTGTCAAAGCACCCATTACTAAGAGACTGCAAACACACAGAAGGCAGGTGGAATTATTATAAATACACATTTGTTTGATTTGGTGTTATCCTTTGTCTTTCCTTCAAGCTGTATACCAGATATCATTCCCATAGCAACAAATTTTCTAACTTGAGTTTAAAAGCTAGTGATTACCCAACAGCTGTTGTAAACAACCTTTCCCATTACGATGGGCATAAAGAGGTTGATTTGTAATTTAAAGAATTAATTTTCTTTGTGATTTTTCTGAAAGGAGTAAACATTGATACCTTTGGGAACTCTTATGCAATATCCATTTTCATCTCGGACTGGTTCATCTTTCTCTACGTCGTACTTAATCAGCTCATAGCGTATAATTTTCTAGTGAAATTTACAAAATATACATACATGTGAATATCTGAATAGAATGTTCAAAGTAATCCACACACTAATTAAAGTATTGCTTTAAAAGGTGCTAGGCTAGCTTCGTATTTCAGACACATGTTCAGTGTGTCTCAAATACGCTTTTGCCTGAAATGCTGGCAGCTGCATTGGACTCGAGGCCATGTTTACATTGCAATGAAACACCTGTGGCTGGCCCTGGCAGTGGGTCTATAAAACTGCAGGGAAGTTTTTTTGGGTTCAGGCTCTGGTTACAGCAAAGCCTCTAGGATCCTCCCCCTCACAGGGTCCCAGAGATGTTTCCGCTCAAGCCCAAGCATCTACACTGCAATTTTATAGCCTGCAGCTCGAGTCCTGTATGCCCAAGTCGGCAGACACGGTTTTTTATTGCATCTTAGTGAGATGGCAGCAGTTGCGGTGATGTCTATCAAGGGACAGATGTAAGGTAAAGTTGGGGAGGGCAAAGATCTCTTCCTTGGGCACATCAGTGGAGCACTGGGCTATGCATTTGCCTCTTAGGGGCCATGTGAGTGAGCCCTTGGCAATGAGTCGAACTTCATCCCTGAAGGACAGAACGCCAGTGCTGATGTTAGTTTGCTTTACCTTATGGAAGTAGTTTACTCTCCCCACTGCGCCGACTTTCCTAGTATAGTTAATAAAGCCAATATTTCCCTCAGTGGCAGCATAGAACTCAAAAATATGGATGTCTCCAAATCTTCTGATGAATTCTCTCCAAACATCAGCCCTTAGTCCATTGCCTAAGGCCATCCTTACTCTGTGATCACGATCGCTGTCTTTCTGGAAATGAAAACCCAACAAAGATAGGCTAATGATTAGCTTGAGTGCAGTGAACTGGTTAAAGGAAAGCATTAGTCTGCACACATAAGGCACATTTTGAAGTATAACATGTGCCTACATCTTTAGATCTAAGCCTGCAGTTAGAGATAGATGGTCTAATACTTATATGGGCTAATACTGAATGTTAGAGCTGCTGTAAGCTAAATATCTGTCTTCAGCTGAAATCAATGGCAAAACTGACTTCAATGGGGCTGAACCATGAGGATGAAATTCATCACCTGCAGAGGGTCAGCATGAAACTTATGTCCCATATTATGTTCCATGTAAGCCTGTTTTGTGCACATGACTTGAATGGACCCTCTGCATGGGTTAAATTTCTCCATTAGTGCAGTCAGCGATTTAGGAGATAAAAGTGGACAGATTTTCAAATTGACGGTACAAGCTGAACCTCTGTGGTCTGGGACTCTGGTCTGGCAACATCCATGGTCCAGGAAGCCCATGGATGTTACTGGACTTGAAAGCCCCAGAACAGAGGTTGCTGGTGAGTGAGAGCTGTGAAAGTAGAAAGAATTATACTGTAAGAGAAAGATGAATTATGCTGTAATAATTGAATAAGTTGAAGGAATACTGTTTGTCTCTGAACAGGAAGAAGAAAAGTATGTTAATGTTGTTTGTAGGTATGCAGATTCCAGAGTACTAGCCAGAGTTAATAGTAAAAGGAACATTAGGTGTTAGGGAGAAAGCAATTGAGAACCAAGTAGATATGGACAGGAGATTGCTGTGTGCTTGATGTGGAAATGAAGATACTTGACTAAGTCTCACACTAATCATGTGAAGTTTTGCCCCTCCTTTTAATTCTGTTAACTTAACTTTTTTTTGACTGTATAAATCAAGGGGTTTGAACCTTGTATGGTGCTCACATTTTCTGGATGCATTTTAGCAGAGCTTTGCTAAAATAAACAGAGTGGTCTGACAAATCTGTGAGTCCTGTCTCACTTTGAAAGAGCCAACCCAGCCAGTGGGACTTGCAGGGCAGTGGAGCTCATGGGGCAGTGGAGCCCATGAGGCACCCGACCCACAGCCGGCTGGGTGTGGGGACGGTGTATGAAGCTTCTGCTTAGAGAAGGAGGCTTCCAGCCTATAGTCACACCCAGAATCCACCCCTTCTCCACCTAGGCCACACCTCCACACTGTCCATGTCACACCCTTCCCACTGTCTCCTTCCTCTCTTCCCTCCCCTTCCCTGCCAAATCTCTGAACCCAAATTTAGCAAATGACATTTTAAAAAATAAAACCCACCCTTCTACAATTTATTTCTAAAGAAAATGGAGCATGATTTTCACTGCATGCCAGATTGTGAAGACTGGACATACAGAAGGCACCTAATTAAAAGTACTAAATTTGGGAATAGAAAATGTCACTTTCAGGGTTTTTTGATGTACCCTAAAGTTTGTCAGAGATTTATTTGCAAAAATGTTGTAATCAGGGCAAGGCATCTGTCCTGCTGTGAATACAACATTTTATTTTGTAGAGTACATGATGCAGCTCTTTTTTGTTTTATTTTTTCTTAGTATTTCTAAGATGATTTTATATTTTAAATATACTGTTACGACTTCATAAAGTAATCATTCCAGATTACTACATATTTAATACTCTGAAACAAATACATTATTTTAAATTAACCAGAGTGGGTTAGTGTGTTCATTGCTATTAGAAAAACATAACACATTTATGTTGTGTGATCTCCATAACAGTAGATATGTTTATAAAATGTCACCAGATGTTTGTTAAAAACATGTTCCCAAAGATTTTAGGTAAAGCAAAAGAATTTAATATATTACTGAGATGCTGATTTTGGTGGTGGGTCCTCTTAAAACTAATTCATCTAACAGTCAGATGTAAAGAAAAGGAAACTTATTTGTCCAGCTCTCCGGAAAAAAAAAGGAGTGTTGTCTCTTTAAGGGCTCTCTCCAACTAGGGGATGAAGGGGAAAGATTACAGCAGATGGGAAGGACAGAAAGGATAGGAAGACTTGGGAAGCAAGTGTTTTGTACTACAGTAATTACAATTAAAATGTGTATTTTGAAGAAATATGCTCTTTGAAAGAATTTATTTTAAAAAACTATGTCTGAAGATCCAAGCATTTAAGGCTAAAGAGCAATATCTAGGTTGTGCATCTAAACATTTATGCAGTGATTTTTTTAGAGATGTGATTTTATAATCTTCAGCAACAAACTAAGAAAATATTTAAAGCAATTTTTATTGAAGATCCTGTAGACTAACTGGTTCTGAGTAAACATGTGATGCCTAACTGTTTTTGTCAGTAAATTCACTGTGATTGTAGGCACCTCTAGGTTGGCAAATGCTTGTTAAGTGGCTTCATTATGACTTCATGGCTCTTTAGGCTTTTAATTTTTAAGTTACTAAGTCTGGATCCACTCTAGAGGAAGACTCACCAGGTTGCACCAGCCTGCAGGAAGAGTCAGAATAGGGCTAGGAAGAGGCAAGAGGTCAGGCACTAAGACCCAAGGGAGTCAGTGCTTTTCCTTGTCTTTATACCCACCGCCCATGGGCCTGAGCCTGAGGATTACTGCTTAATGCAGTAGGTGAGGGAGACCACTCTGCCTACTTGAGGACCAGGGACCACTTACACCCACTTACACTATCACTTTATTTCACTGCTCAGTTGGCCCAGAAACTTTAATGAAGAAACAGTGTTCAGGACCAGCAGTCCTACTCACCTGCCTAACCCAGAGTCATTTCACTGGTTTCAGTAAAGTTATTCCCTCTTTATAGCCATGTACTTGAGATCAGAAATGAGTTCTACATATCTGATACCCTCCTCAAAACAAAACAACCACAACCAAACCAGCAAGACATCTCCGGCCTGATTTTGCATGCAAAATGGGGGAGGGCTGCACCATATTTATGCTGCATATATTCTATGATTGCTCTAACTCTACACGGGTACCTGTGACAAGGGAGGGGGTTAGAGAGAATGGGGGTTGGGGGGCAGCAGCAGTGCACACTGGGATGCAACTTGCTTTTCTTTCTATTCCCCTGATGATAAGGGAGCGAAGGGAAAGTACCTGGATTCTGTGCATGCCTCTCGCTCCTGTCTGGTGAAGGGAGGGGGCAGAGGGTGTAAATCATGGAATACAAGTACTTTCCCCTCGCTCGCTTATTATCAGGGGAACCTCAAGAAAAGCAAGTTGCGTCCTGGAACGGATGGCTACTTTCTTCCACTCTCTCGAAATTCTGCCCTTGACATGTGGCCCCATAGAACATGACAGGAAATGCTGATGTGAGTTATTTAGGTAGCACATGCTGGACTCTGAGTACCTCAGCAGGGATGTATCCAGATGGGGCTACAATGCCAGACAAGTGAAACCCTTCCTCGCGTTGGTTATTTGAGATGCTTTTCACTAACCCTTTCACCTGTGATATTCACGTGACTATCCTAGTCTAATGTTTCTTGCCTGCTGAAAATTGATTCTAGTCAAGTCCAAATGTAAATGACCAGCTCCTTAATTTCCCTGTGGGACCCTTCAGTTGTATTTGGGTAGCTACATAGATTATAAGAAGGGTGCGCTTCCTCTATTCATTGTTATGGCATACAAAGCTGAAAGGCTCTGGGTGATGTGTTCATGTGGTACTCTTCATCAAGATTATGCAAAAGAAATGCCTACTTTAAGTCAGTGGTTCTTAGTCTGAAAGACATTTCATGTTAAACTACATTAGACAGTAAACTAGTTGGACCAAGGGTCTTGTCTTGATTCTGTACCTATACAACTTTGTGCAAAGGGCCAGGGCTAGCCTTACCATGAGGCGAACTGAGGCACCTGCCTCAGGTGCCAGACTGTATGTGTGGGGGGGGGGGGGGGGGGGGGGGGACGGAGGGCAGTAAGGCATTTTAAGTTGTTAGTTCTCCTTTATTGGGATAGGTAGCAGAGCAGTACCATGAGAGGAGTAGAACAGAAAGAAGGCAGAATTGAGACTTTTCAAAGTTTTGGCCCAAGCGAGGTGCTTTGGGTGGGTTTTTTGCAACATAGTCATAGCCCAAATATGCAGAGATTGCAACTGGGGAATTCCCCCTGCATCAAGACAGCTTATTCCTGTGCAATAAGCCTGCCTCGAGCATAAGAGGAAGAAAGGAAGAAGAATTTGGAAGGGGGAGGAAGAGTTTGAGGCATGTTGGAACAAAGTTGTAATTTCTGTGTTGAAAGCTATTGTATAGTTTCAGAATCAAGTTGTCTGTGTCCCACTTAATGAATCTGTGTTTCTGGAGGTCAGAAGAATTTTTCATTAATGCTAATGCATTATATTGATTTTATTTTAATATTGAGAAGAAGCCTTATAAGTCAATATCTGCTTACATGGACTGACTCATTTTCTCATTGCCTACTTTACGGATCACACTATGCAATGTATTCTGCCATTATTACAGAGGACATATGAATTTGTTTTGACATGTGCAAGTATGTAACTTGCAATGCATGTTGTGAAGACTCAATTTATAAAATCAAAAAATATTAAAGTGAAAAGCAGATGGGCTTTGGTTTAATATTTTCCCATCCACATTTTCAATATTTTTAAAATGTATCTTACATAAAATAATGGCTATTGTATGTAATATGTTGTTTTACATCATTAGTGAGAACTCTCCACCCAAAGAACTGAAAGCCTTTTGCAGGGCCGGCCCACAACATTTTGGCACCCGAGGCGAGGAGCTCAAATGACATCCCCATGCCCCCTAGATTAACAAGGCTAAAAACAGCAGTGTAGACATTCCCACTTGAATTTCAAGCTTTGAAATCCCTTGCTAGGTTTCAGAGCTGGGCTTCAGCCTGATCCTGAATGTCCACACTGCTATTTTTAGACCTATAGCGCAAGCCAAAGTCAGCTGACCCAGACTCTAAGGCCACATCGGCCCTAGTGAACTCTCAGGGGCACAGCTGTACCTATACAACTGCCCTGATGTAAGATCACTTGTGTAGCTGCTTTCTGCTGACAGGCGAGAGCTCACCGATCAGCATCATTAAACCACCTCCAGCAAGCGGCACTCACTATGCTGGTGAGAGAGCATCTCCCTCGGACAACGCTGTCTGGAGGAGCCAAATGCCAGGCCAGGCTCCTGGGCAAAGGAGGGGGCAGCTCTGCACTCCCAGAAGGGGCGGGGCTTGGGCGGAAGGGATAGGGCCATAGCAGCCAACTCTTACTGCCTCCTGGATGGCAACACAGTGGCCCCTCCTACTCCTTAGGGTTGCCCAGAGCACATGACACAGCTCTCTAGTAGTGTTTTAAAGGGCCTGGGGCTCTGGGCATTTTAGGTGTCCAATATTTTCTGAATTTTTTTTACTGGACAGGAGGCGAAAACACCGGATTTTCCGAGTCAATATTGGACACTTGGCAACCCTAGTTGGTGGGCCCAGTGCTCTCCACACTGGAACTTCTGTCGGTGTAACTTATGTCACTCAGAGCAGTGTTTTTCATACCCCCAGGCAACATAAGATATATTAACAAAAGTGCTAGTGTAGACATAGCCTTAGATTTACTGCCACAGGGTGACAGTGGTTCTTCTTCTTTTTTCAATGCTGATGTACCATTAGATAGTGCAAAATGAACTTGGGGGAACAGAGTGTCTGGCCCCTGAGTTAAGCAGTGGAACATCTTAGACTCATTAGAGTCCACTAAAATATTAGCAGTATTGCACAGGTAATCTGGACAATATTTGTAATCAGTTTGCAAAAAATTCTGGTGCATAGAAGACGTTACCTTTGGCGTATTGCACAAATACCGAAGCACCTCTCCAATATACTGGATGACAGTTACATTGTATTTCTTGCAGTCAACCCAAAATTGGCTGGCTGAAAATTTGGAGCGTAGAGCAAAGGTTGCACCTACACAGAGAAGCAGAAGGAAACAATAGAACTTGGCTATAACAAATACATTGTGAGAAAATGGGACAATTTCCTTAGTCATTTCAGTGTGGTGAGTGAAGGACATATGCAGGATGACAGATTATAGGACTTCCTAAAATCAGTGCAGGTACTTGCCACAACCAGAAAGTAACTTTATCATTTAATTCTGTCCATCAGAAAGTAATGGTGTATTCGCAGTGGATGAATTTCGAAGCACTCTGCACCACTTAGCCCCTGTGGTTGTGCTGCATAGACAGAGTGGCAGGAGACACACTGCAGTTGCATGCAGTAACTTTGGGGAGATCACATTGCATTAAGCTGATCAGTGGTTTCTGCCTCACTGTGGGCCAGGGATTGTATTGCAACTCGAGGGGGAAAGGTTACCAGAGCTTTTCCAGGAACTAAACAGGGTGTATGTGGGCATGCCAGGTGATTATGGCTACTTGGTTAGCCTGTAACACCTCCACAGGGGTGCCATAGAGAGGTTTGCCAATGTTGTTTTAAACGGGGTGTTTCACAGACCAGTAGACAAAGAATGGGTATAAAAAATCTGAGTGTAAGAGCTTTCTTTTTTATACAGCAAATAGGCAGGACCTTCTGCCTGGGGGAGGGGACAACCTTGTGGACTTTGGCTTACAAGGGTCTCATAAAACAAGCTTTTGGCCCATGCATAGGAACTTGTATTATTTGTATGCATTCTCTGGAATGCTTTTGCCCTTAGAATAAATGTACTTTGCTTGGTGAGGGCTGGTTGGTAACTGGTATACAGGATGTCCCAGATTTACAAACAGGTTGTGTTCCAAAAGTTAATTTATTAGCTGATTGTTTGGAACTCAGAACACATTTTCCCATAGAAACAAAGTGGTTTAAATGGTGTCCCATAGAAACAAAGTGGTTTAAATGCCTGAAATACTGTACTGTAAAAGCTTGTAGCCTCTGAGAAACGGTATCTTTTTCAGGCTAGATCTTGCAGAAAGAAATCATGAAGAAATCTCAGTGAAGTGCAGCAAAAGTGTATCAGATCGTCGACACACTAGTCAACTAGTTGCTTCCCCCCCTCCCTTGCTGCCTCTATGAGAAAGAGGCAGCAAGGGGGTCCAGGGAGGAGGTACTGGGGGGAGCCAGCTTAAAAGCTGGTTCCCCCCTAGCTCCATGGGAGGAGCCAGGGGCACAGTGGTGGCTTTTCACCTTTGAAATGAACAAGAGTCCCCACTGGGGCTGCCCTTGAAATGGAGCCTGGCGGGAGACCCATTTCAATCTTTGAAATACACACAAGCCCCTGCTGGGGCTCTTGTACATTTCAAAGGCAGAACGCCGCACAGCACTTCCACCTCTGAATTGCAGCAATAGCCCAGTGGGCTCTTGCTACATTTCAAAAAGGAAGCACTCTTATCAACCAATCAAATAGACGATGGAAATTCCATCGACTATTCGATTAGTTGATTAATCTAATTTAACATCCCTAGTGTAAACCCCAAGTCTGGAGGACGGATGATGCAATTCTCCATTCAAGACAGGTGATGACTAGGAAGCCTTCAAGGGAGGCTAGGAGTATGGTCAAAATTGCAGTTAACCCTGAAACTCATGACACTCCCATGTAGGGCTGGAAAGCTGGCTCTGGGTATGAATTTTGCTGTGGGCGCAGTCACTCATTTATATTGTAAGATGCACTGTACCTTGCATGATGCATCCATGAAATCCAACCATGAGGCCAGCACTGTGATACAGTGGCAGGGCATTATACACAATGTCCTCCGAGGTCACGCCACTTGTAAACAATATGCCACAAGCTAACAAAATGCGATGGTGGTTAATCACTGCAGCCTTTGGAAGACCTAGGTTAAGAAAATAGAAAAAGGTGTGTTCTTTCATATGATTGGTACACCTACTGTGCAAGGTGATTCAGACTGACATCCTTTAGCACAGGATTGGGTGAAGGGGACACTATATCCTCAGAAAAAGGAGAGGCTAGAAGTTAATCAAGTATACGCAGGAACTGAAGAAAAATAGTCAAATGAAAAAGAGTTCCATTCATTTACATAATCTGAAGGGTGACAAATTTTATAAGGGGTTGTATACAATTGGTGGAAGTCCAAATACTTAGATGACTTAACTTGAATGCCTGCTATTAATTGAAGATATTTTCTATATATTTGAGAGAGTTTGTGCATCTGTCTGTGAATCCATTTGTTCAACAACTTCTCCTAAACCGTAAGAGCTAAGTCCACCAAATTTGGTATTCAGCTTCCTCTTATCATAATTTGAAGCAAGGTCAGTGTTTCTTTGTGCCAGGACAATGGATGCACCTGGAATTCGATTGTTTCTGATAAAATGGAAAAACAGGGGCCAGATACACTATATAATGACCACAGGGGGGCAGCATGGGGCAGAGATGGGAACCGGGATAGCTATAACCTGATTGGGTCAGCAGGGACCAGGGGTGGGGAAAGGACAGCTATCTACTACATATTCAGAGAGTTCTGTCTGTTGTGTGTCTATCTGTCCCCCAGCTGGTGTACCCCTTCCCCAGCTATGCTTGCTGCAGCTGCCATAAACAGGCACTTCTCACCTGCTCCCAAGCTTCTGTGGCAAGAGAGGGGTGGGGTTGTCCTCTCTCTCCAGGGCAGCTGCACATTGACCCCCTCATCTCCAGCCCCACCCCAAAACAAATGAAAAAAAAATAAAATGTAATGAGTTAATTCGAGCAATGCTGGGTAACTCTTCTAGCAGTAATCACAAAGAAACTTGAAACAATAATCAATAGGACATGATAATACCAGGATGCAAAATATACAGAAATTCCACAGTAAGTTATGCTGTTGGAGGAGTTGCACTGTATGTGAAAGAAAGCTTAAAATCAAATATAGTACAGTTTGCTTCATTTAAGATATAGTTTGATGCACATAAAACTTGCAAAAAAGTTTAAATCTGAAAGTGCTCATAACAATTAATGGGCATCATCAACTTGAAATGTAAAGTACAACAAAAAGCAGTTAATAGTAGCATCTAGGATTATATGTATTTCTGAGTCCCCTCTGCCAATTTTGAAGATTTTACAGTCACATTTGTCTATTTTTTCTAAATGTTCTTCTCCCACTACTGATGTGTTAGATGATCCTCACAAACAAGGACAACCAACTGCACAAAAGTGCTTTCAAATGCCCAAAGTAAAGAAAAAGCAGAGAAAAACATATTTTCTCTAAGCACTTTCTTTTCCAGAAATCTTGGGTTTACTTGTTCCAATTTAGGTTAAAAAAATCAGATAGAAATGTGATTTTGAAGATGATTTGCAAGAATTACTAAGCAGAAAAATATAAAATTAAACTTTCATTCCAATAATTTCTTCCCCACCAGAAATGTAATGTTTGTCGGATAGCCCCATTTACACTACCTGTAGTCCCAGAAGTATAAATATACATGGCAGGTGTTTTAGAAGTGACATGTGATCTCCAAGATGGTGGAGTTGGCTCATCTGAAACTGATTCTATTTTGTCAAGGAAGCTGTCAACTCCTTCTGTATCAGATGTCCTGCTTAGGTAGAAGACTCGCACGTTTTCTTCTTTCAGGGTTGACAATATTTCTTCAACAGCTGCTTTCAATCCTTACAGAGCAAAGAAAACAGAAAATCATTCCAAGAAAAATGTTGAGTTGCTGAATTTGTGCCCCAAGTTTTGCCTTGAGAGATTGTGTATTTAATTGCCCTCAGCAATGATTCATGCCTATGACAGTTCAGTGTCTGACAAAAGAGCTGAGGCCATGGCTACACTACAGTGGCTACAGTGACACAGCTACAAGGCTGCAGAGGTGCTGTAGGACAAACACTTTCTATATCAACAGAAGTGGTTTTTGCCTTGATGTGGATAATCCACCTATTCAAGAGGCCTCGCTGCTACAGTGAAGGATAGATCATAAATGAGACATTCCCTATCACCAGGCCAGATTAAGGTTATGAGGGGCATAAGGCTAGTGGGAAGGGCTTAAGTATGAATTACATAGTACAAATAATTATGAAATCATCAAACATATATTTATATACATAATTACATAAGATTTATACACATAATCACAATAGATTACATTTATTACACTCTCAATACACTCACAATTTTTCCCACTTCAGCTGTGGCAAAGTCATTAATGATGTCATCATAGGTCAAAGATCTCAGTGCTCAAGAGGGACAAAGCACTGAAATGTTCTTGAGCCATGGTGGATCAGAGGCCATTTTTTACCCTGGTTATATGTTTGATAAGACTCTGGGCCCTGTGTGGGGACTTTGGCTACCATCAGGTGGCTTTTGGTTAATGTGGGAGCGAGAGAAGTAGGGGGATCTACTTCAGTGTCTTGTCTGTAGCCAGTACCCTAAATGTATTTCTTCTGTATTCATTAGCTCTTCCACAATTAGAATAACAGAATCATAGGAATGGAAGGGACCTCTAGAGGTCATCTAGTCCAGTCCCCTGCACTTTCAGCTTTTGAATGAATCTGACAAAACAGAGACACCCCTGTTGTGTTCTCTGCCCCTCTTACCAAAAAGACTTCATTGAAAATCAACATCTCAGAAGAACCATCAGGTTTGGATGTGGTTTGTTTACTAGGCTGGTGTAGAATGAGGGATCAAGCAGACTTCAGACAGGCCTTGTTTCTCTCAAACGCTTTGTGCCTCCATGTTCCTGGGGCTGACTCAACCATCAGTAGAGGTTAGCTCACCTTTGAGAGGTATGGGCCTTGCAAGAACCAGGGAGTAAGGATGTCCTGGACACACTTCCTCCTGCCTGCAGGCCTCTGATCCTTGTGGTGAGGGAGGAATATGGTACTGGCCTGGTCAGCTCTGTGTCTGCTGAGTAGGATTCGTGCTGAGGGTGCTCCCCAGGGAACCTTACAACCTCTTTGCCCCCACATGCCAGAGAAAAAAATGGAAAAAATGGCTGCCTCAGGATGCTGAATTTCCTTCTTTGAGGGAATCACTATTCTGGGCAGAGTTCCCTCACCAGGCCAACGTACCTCTTATACTCACCCATCCTGTTTGCAAGGGTGAATTTCACTATACTTCATGTATAGCAGCATGTTTACAATTTTTCACTTGCTCTATTAGAAAAATAAGATGATCTATTTTTGCTGGTGGAGTTACCAGTGTCTTGGCTGGTTCATTGTAACTCCAAGTCCTTTAAACAGTGAACGGCTATGTGAGTGAAACAGAAAAGGGACCTACATTTTTGTAATGTTGGGTGGAATCTGCCAAGCACACTGCAAGGCCAACAAAAAGACCTTTCAATTCATGGGTGTGGCAATTCCCCTCAATTCCCTGTGAATGAGCAAATTCAGGTAGCTTAACATGGACCCTCAGCAGTCATTGCACTCAAGCAGTTACTGCTTCAGGCTTCCGTTCTCAAAACTGCTTGAAGCAGGGGGCAGATGAGGAGAAAGCACAGATCCATGTTGTAGAAAGAATAATTGATAGGACTGAAATCAAACTGTAAAGCTCACTTACAAATACAACAGGGAAAATTCAAGCCATGAACAAACTGGGCTTGATTTACTCACATAAACACTCTCTATGAAGTCAAGTCAATAGTAGTTTTGTGGGAATAAGGGAAGGAGAATTTGGCTCCAGATGCTATCACAAATGCTTATGTGTAGAGAGACACAAATCGTCTGCTCACCTGGTGTGAACTGTCCTAGTTCCATTGACTTCAATGGATGGCTTCAGTGCTGCTCTTGAGTGTCAACCAGCATCAGGATGAGGGGCAGAACTTAATTCCTAAGGAGCTACATTGACTTGCACCAGCTGAGAATCTGGCCCTCCATGTCTAGCATGTTTTATAGTGTGAAATACATTTTAAATGTCAGAAAAAAACCCAACACACTATCCTGTTTGATGTTTATAGTTAACTTACACAGTGCTTTACATTTCATATTACTAAAACAGACAAAACATGAGAGATTACTTATATAAGATAGTACCAATATAAATGAGTCAATATTCTCTGTAGGAGGCTGACTCAATATCCCAGGGACATTTCTCTTCACTTAAAGGTCCTAATTTGTACACAAGCCATTCCTCAGATGTTCATGTAATTTGCCAGAGTTCTTTCATTTGCAAGAGTCCTTCCCCCATTCATGAAATGTTGCAAAGCTGGCCGTGTGCATGTTTCTTGTGTAAAAGTGCCATCAAAATTGCTAGAATGGTTCCTAATATGCAATCTACTGTTGGCGTCAGCAACCCAACTTGCTGTCTCCCAAAACAAACAGATCTGCCTTTCACTTTGAATTGCTCCCCTGGGGTGAAAAACTGCTATTATTAGAACCAATATTTCTAGCGTGGTTGCCAGTCAATGCTCTTGTGAATGGTGTTTATAATGATACTGCCCCCATATCTGGCGGGTCTTAGGGCCATCCATGTGGAGACTTAATACCTCTGCCACAAGTGTCCCCTCCTTTGGAACAAAAGCTGCCCCCATATCTGGCGGATCTTAGGCCCATCCATGTGGAGACTTAATACCTCTGCCACAAGTGGAGCTCCCAGCAACACCCCTAGTTTTCTGCCAGCAACACTCTATTGCAGCTGAATTGCCAAGGACACGCCCCTAGGCCTCCTCTGGTCCTCAGGCAGGGAAACTAAAAATGTTTACTATGGCTTCAGGCTGTATTCAGTTTTTTGGACATCTTCTGCAGGACTGTAAGGAGAACTATGCACATTCAGGTGGCTTGTCTCTCCTGTTCCTGCCCACCCTCACTCTACTTCAGCCGTGACCAACCCACAGGTTGAGCCTCATGCGGCTCTTGGCCCCCAAAAGTGTGGCTCATGAAGCCGCTCCTGCACCCACAAACGGCCCCACCCATCCCTGGCTTCCCTGTGCTTACTGGGTCAGAGCTGAGGAGTTTTAAAAATGGCACTCAAGATGGTGGCCATCTTAAAGTGGTAGCCTCCTTTAAAAAAATTTTTTTTGTTTTTTTTTGTTTTTGCCCAACAATTCTGTTCGGGGGGGGGGGTGGGGCTTTTTTTTTTTTTGGCTTGACAATTCTGGTGCAGCTCTTCACATTTTTTCTGCTGCTGTTTTGGCTCTCTTTGTTAAATGGGTTGGCCACCCCTGCTCTCCCTACTTGTTCTACACAGACCTTGGGCTGCATGGAGAATTGGGTTTGGTGGCAGGAAGGGGAATCTGAACCCCCATTCTCCATGAAAGGTTTAATTTAGAACCTTTCCACATTTAGATCTAATGAGCCATAGTCTGGCACCCAACATATGTAAACACAATACACTCTACTCCTGTTTATAGCTAAATCAATATACTCCTTTGCAGAAATCTGTTCAAAGTATCCTTGCAAATAAATAACAATAGTCACCCTGACCCAGGGTAGTACAAAAATGCAGAGTAAAGGTCAAAATTCAAATCAGGGAAGAAAAAGTAAATGTGTAATAGAGGGGAAATCTGTCTTTTTGTCTTCTCCTTATATTATTTTAACGGCCAGAAGTGTCTACTATAGCTAAGGGTGGAAAAATTATTTCATTAATAACTATTTTCAACCATTCATCTTCAATTTTTTTTTCTCATTTTGGGATGAAATATTCTTTGTTTGGTCTCTCCCCAAAGCTGAATACTTTTTGGAAAAGTATATTTTCTTGTTCTAAACACTAGCTTTTCCTCATGGTGTAAACTTAAAAATTGGTTACTTTTGAAAGTTCAAATACAGTATGGAATTCGTTCCCACTAAGGTTTAGTTTGTGTGCTATACTCGGAAAGGTTTGTTTTTAGCTCATAAAATTTAGGAACATTTAAACATCTGCATAGAAAAGGACCTTTCCCTGCAAATATTAGTGCACATATTCTATCTTCATACATGTGAGTAGTCTCATTGATATCATGTTTGCAAAAGTTGGCAGAAATGGGGCTAGACTAAAGAGAGGCAGTGTAACCAAGTGGATAAAGCAGTGGATCTGTGCACATAGTACCTGGCTTCTATTGCTGGCTCAGCTAATGACCTGCTAGGTTACCATGGGAAGCCACCTCATTGTGCTGTGCCTCTGTTTTCCTATTTATAAAAAGGGACTTATGACTGTTACTTCCAAGGTAAAGTGCACTGAGATCTACTGACAAAAAGCTCTCTGTAAGAGTTCAGTATTATTGGTAGTTAACAGGCACTAGTTAGCTAATGCTCCATTATCTAATGACCTTGTTTATCAGTTTTTCCATTTTGTTTTTTTCTTTTTTTAAGTATAAACATGTAACAAAGTCTTTATGGGATCAGGGTCTTATAATGCAGCTAAAAAAATCTCAGACTAGTTTCAGTCCACCTGTAACAAAAGAGCAATGATTTCCCCATTATTTAAACTATCTAGGTATCCTTGACAATAATTTTTTTATTTGAACCTGTAAACTGTTCACTCTATTGCAAATTAATTCATTAATTTGTAGTAATAAAGGTTATTTTATTTCTTGCATTGCACAGATCAAAAAGGAAAGCTTTTTAGATGTTACTGTTTAGTAGAGAAAGCCCTGTTACCTAAGTAAAGTATCTTTTTCTGGTGTGTTCCCCTTATTATACACATTGGATATGAAAATTAGGGCTGTCAATTGATCTGCGTTAACACCTGCGATTAACGCAGTCCAGGATTAACGTGTTAATCGCAGGCGTTAATGCTGCACTGCCCCCTTGAAATGCTGTTTTGGTGTTTTGGACTCCAGCTGATCCTCAGCTCCTAGTGTGCTGCCCCTTTAAAGGGGCTTTGCAACATGGAGCTGGGAATCAGCTGGAGTCCCCAGATGATGCCAGACTCCTAATGCATTGCCCCTTGGAAATGCCTCTGCAGTGCTTCCAAGGGGCAGCACTGCATGGAGCCCAGGGTCAGCTGGGGACTCCAGCTGATCCCGTGCTCCATGCAGCGCTGCCCTGTTGACTGCGGTGTTTCAAAGGGGAGGTGCATGCGACTAATCATGTTTAAATTTTTTAATGGCTTGACAGCCCTAATGAAAATACATTGTCAATGGCTACGTCTAGACTGGCCACAAATTCCGGAAAAGGGATGCAAATCAGGTAAGTCAGCATAGGGAAATCCTTTGAAGTAGGAATAAGAGATCCTCCAGAAAAGGGCTTTATTCCGGAGGATCGCGCCACTCTAGACGCTTTGGGGGTACCTCCCAAAAGCGGTGGACATGTTTATTTAAATCCCGCGGGGGATATTTAAATCCCCCGCGGATTTCCCTATGCTGACTTACCTGATTTGCATCCCTTTTCCGGAATTTGTGGCCAGTCTAGACGTAGCCAATGAGTTGAGAACATTCATAGATTCTAAGGCTAGAAGGCACCACTGTGAGCATCTACTTTGACCTCTTGTCTCTCACACCAGGGCCATCCCTAGAGAGTTGCGGGGCCCTGGGCAACCACCCACCTCAGTATCCAAGGCATGGAACCAGGGACGACCCCTCCACTGCAGGCTGTGCCCTGCCCAACCTCTGCTCCATCTCCACCCACCTCTTCCTGCCTCTGCTTTGCCCTTACTTGTACCTCCCCTCCCCCAGCGGTGTGAGCAGTGGGATTACCTGAGAAGCCTGGCATGGGGCTGATGGACCATCCAGCCTGCTCCACTCTGCTCTCCCACCCATCTCCCGCCCTGCTGCCCTCCTTGCCACAAACCCCCAGCCCTGGCCCCAGCCTGCTGCAGGGCTCGGAGAAGCAGACTGGGGCTGGGGCGCTCTGTTTCCTGCCAATGCAGAGAAGTGGAGCACAGCAGGCTGAGAGATGGGTGGAGCGGAGTGGAACAGGCTGCCAGGTTGCTCCAGTTCCTGCTGCCATGGTGAGTGCAGGGGGTGTGTGATCCCTGCTACTGCCCCCTGCTGGTCTCTCCCCCAGGCTGCCTTGGGTCACTGGCTAGTATGAGAGACTATCACATCCATATCTCAAAAAGCACATGTATGTTTCAGTGCAACATCCCAGGCTTAGCTATTTGACAAAACCCTTCCGCACTATGGCACAGATCCTGCAATTCTATTTCATCTAGATACTGCCCCACTTTGCCCACTTGGAGCCCCTCTAATGTTCATGGGGCTACGTGCAGGGGGAACACCTAGACAGGGTCAATTTCAGGATTAAAGTTTAAGGCCCTAAATTTGATGTTAATAGGGGTACTCACAGAGAGTAAAGTTAATCATGCACATGGGTAGGACTAGGGCCTCACTGATTGTATCTTGTATGTCAGCACTTGCTACGTATTGGCATAATCCATCCCCACCCCCAGAAAAAAACCCCTTGTGGCCAAGGCATCTCCTTTGCCAGGCCTCCCCAAAGCAGTGGGAGCAGAGTTGAAACAGGGCAGCCAATAACCCTTACAGAAGACTCAGTTTACTAATTCACTGACTTTTGATCCAGTTACCTTTGTCCTGCACCAACCTCCTGTTTCTTCACTGTTTGTTGTTCCAAATTACAGAAGCTGGAGAGACCAACTCTTCACAATGAAGTTGTAGCAGAAAGCACTGTAAATGTTAAAGGAACAACCCTCCTCCTCCAGCCACTCCCCACCCCTTGGGACTGTCCCCCTTTCTGGGGTACCTCCCACCTCCTGGGGACCAGTGTGTCCATCCATGTTTTCCATCCATGTGCAGAATAAATGTTTTGTGTGCATCAAGCATGTGCACCACCAACAGAAACAAAAAAGCCAGCTGTGGGTGCCCTGCTAACCAGCTAGGTGGCATGTGAATCTTTCCTGAGCAGCTTCACAAGCACCCAGCTTACAGGCAACACTGCTGGGGATTGTCCCATATCCTGGGCTACCCTCATCTCCACTTCTGGGTTAAGGCTGTCCCTGGGGGACTGTCCCCTACTCAGGGCCGGACCAAGCTATTCCGGAACCCTGGGCAGACAGTTTAATTGCGCCCCAGGTTGGGGGAGGGTGCATGTGCGGCCCCACCCCCACCCGGCACGTGGGGGAGGGCACATGGAGCTGGCGGTGGCAGGACGCATGTGCCCAGCCCAGCCCAGCCCAGCAGCCCAGCCCAGCCGCTGCAGGGTGGCCGCCGGGAGCTGCTGCAGCCCGCGATCTGGGAGCCGGGCACTTACAGCTGCCATCAGGTGCCCCCCCATAGGTTGGAGCCCCGGGCAGCTGCACGGCTAGCCCATGCCTTAATCCGGCCTTGCCCCTACTCCCCACTCAGAAAGCTGCAGGGCAGGTGAGCTCCCTGCCTGAGCAGATATGGATGAGCAGAATGTGTGGCCCTATGGGTGGGCGGCTGGGGCCAGCCACGCCCCTTATTGCCCCACCCCGGGCAGCTGCGGGCTGAGCCACCTGTCAGCCTAGGCGCTGGAGGGGCTCACCTGGGGCTGCCAGCAGCACCTCGGCC